AGGCATAACTCTTATGCTTGCTTTCCTTGATGGCAGAGGACTCAAACACCTCCCAAAATTTTATCCAAAATCAGAGACTCAAAGAAGGATGCTGATATATTTTGGAGAGATTCTTTTAATTTTTAGTGACAGAGTCAAAAGATGAACTTTCATTTTCTGAAAGTTTTAAAGGTTGAAGTTCGGTAGCTGTTACGCTAATTGGAACCAAGGATGTTTAAATTCATCTTGGGTTTCTAGAAGAACTTCTCTATATGAAAAAAAGATATTTTGAGTGTGTTTTGGGGGGGAGAGAGATGTTTTCGAACATTACTTTTATTTCATTCGTCACTGTATTTTGTTCTATTTCTCAGCAGGAATGACGTTTTATTGTTATTACCGCCACCCAACTTTGCTGTTAATAAATAGGAAACTAGAGAAAATAAATATCTCTTTGATCTCTGCATAGTGGAACAATGTTGTTCCACAACAGATATTTTTATTTAACACTTTTCTTTTAAGTTGCTTTTTTGCTGACTCCATAATTGTTTCTTTTTTTCTAAGCAAGAGAATTTCATCAACCTCTTTTGGCGGCCTAGGAACATGTTAAATAAGTTTTTCAAGGTCGTTGAAAGAATGAGTGGCAAAACAAGATTAAAATTCTGATGTACTGATTTCCTACACTAATCTTAGCTGATTGCCAATGCTGCAGCTCTAAAAATGCATGTTCTTAAGTAGAAGCAATTTTTAGTTGGGATTTTTCAAGGTAATTCTGATTTTGTGGGGAGAAATAACTTAGAGGATTTGATAAAAGTTTCTTTTGCGAACAAAGCCTTCAACCACGAATATACTAATTTTGAAGAAGAAAGCAGAAAGGCTAATTGCACCTACTGGCAGCTTTCACCTGACCTTGAAAAGGTTAGAGTCATCCAGAAGTCTCATTAGAAATACTGTTTTGTGAAAAGTTCAAATTAAATTGCTTTCTACTCTTGGGCTTCTGTTTCCTTGGGATCTGGAACCTGAACTAGTCTGGTATTAAAGCAATAACTAACAGTATGGAGCTAAAGCAATTTGTTCTTATCCATCCTGAGATGCTTTGGAGACCATTAGTTATAAGTTCATGTTGTCATTATAATGTCACATTAACAGGTTATTATCATTTCCAATTGTAACTATGTGGGGATTTAAAAAAATTTTTATTCTGGGATAATTTTATATTTGCAGAAAAGTTGCAAAGATAGTATAGATAATTTCATTATACCCTTCATCCAGTTCCCCCTCATGTTAGCATTTTGCATTACCATGTTACATTTGTCAAAATTTAGAAACTAATATTGGTACATTACTTTTAACTAAATTCCAACATTTATTCCATTTTTCCACTAAAGTTTTTCTCTACCCAAGATTCCCATCGAGGATATCACATCACATTTAGTCCTTATGTCTCCTTAGTCTCCTTTGGTCTGTGACGGTTTCTCAGACTTTCTCTGTTTCTCATGACCTTGAAAGTTTTGAGGAATATGTATTTTGTAGCTTGTCCCCAAATTTGGTTTCATCTGATGTTTTTATCATGATTAGGCTGGAGTTAGGGGCTTTTGTGTAGAATACTTAAAAGGTGGCAATGTCCTCATCACATCATACCAGAGATGCATGATATCAATATGGCTTATCACTGGTAAGACAACTTTGATCACTAGGTTAAGATAGTGCTTGCCAAGTTTTTCCACTGTAATGTTGCGATTTTTTCCATTTTTTCTTTTCACTGTTTTTCGGAAGGGGGTCACTATGTCCAGCCCACACTGAAGGTGGAGGAGAGGAGGGAGAATTAAGCACCACCTCCTAGAGGGGCGTGTCTCTGCATACATTATTTGGAATTTTCTATAAGGAAGATTGTCTCTTCTCCCCTATTTGTTTATTCAATGATTAAATTATGTCAATATGGACTCATGTGTATTTTATACTTCGGGTTATAATACAATACTATATCATTTATTTTGTTGCCCAAATTGATCCAGCTCGGCCACTGGGATCTCTTTCAGAATTGTTCCTGTGACTTTTCGCCATGCCCCCATTCTTTCATATTCTGAAGCACTTCCTTACCTTCTGGCATTCCAAGATGCTCCAGGTTCATGCAATATTTACTCTGGCCCAGCCCTAGAATCCACCGTTTTTCCAAGGAGCTTTAATTGCTTTCAATGGCAAATGGCAAATGTAGAAACCAAGATCTGGGCACTCAGTGTGTTCATTGCTGTTGGGTGTCACTGCTTCTAAGCCCTCTCAGCAAATAGAACTAAGAAACAAACGTATATATATTAACCTATGTATATCCATACATTTATAATTATTTCTGTATCTCTCCATCTGTAGATAGATGATGGGTGGATGGATGGATAGATAGATAGGTAGGTAGATACATACATACATACATACATACGTACGTACATACATAGAAATTCATACTGAAGTCTCTGACACTAATCCAGTACCATAGAGTTCATTCTCACCTTCTGTGAGAATTTTTTTTAATCTCTGTAAGTCAAGTAAAAGTTTTTTGACCCATGTGGCAGATATTACTGTTTGTTTATTCACCTAATATTTATTCATGTCTTGGTGATTCCCCAAATTTTAGGGTCAGCAATGTGTCCAATTAAGAAATTCTCCCCCAAGACTCTCTTTAAGCTAGAATTGCCCCCATGTATTCTAGATTTATGAGATACAAAAGGAAGCTCCCTGGTGGACCTTAAGGGAAAGTTATTGTTTTCCCAATAAAACACATTTTTCCTCTTCATTGTGCTCTCTTCCTCCCATCTGAGCCATGCATATGACATCCGGAGGTGGAGCATCCACCTTATGACCAAGAGGTAAAAGGCCATACCCTGAGGATGGCAGAGCAGGAAGATAGAAGGAGCCTGGCCTGATGAGTTCTCTAAGCAACTGCAGCAGCTTAGACTGGCACCTCCAGACTTCTTGTTACACAAGGAAGCTGAACTCACAGTTGGTTAAGCTACTGTAGTCTGTGATTAATACAACCCACTGGAAGAATAGAATAATATTTTCTTCTTTCTAAATTGAATGGTGTGTTATTGTGATATGTGCCATGAGATACCAGCCAGTGCTGGTTTGTTGTGTTATGTTTATTAACTATGTAATTAAGTATTAAAAAGCATATTTCAGTTTCAAGGGTTGATGCGCAAAGAGTTTAACAGCATTCTTACAATCAGTTCTAGGCTAGCAAGTTTCAAGATTAACTAAATTTTCATCCATACATACCATGTAAAGGAGTAAACTTTGGAAAAACAAGGAAATTGTGAATGGGTCCTAAGTTTATACAGTAGTATCACAAGAGAGTAATTTTCAGGATGTGATTCAATATCTTAAGACTATAGTCCACAGATTCTTGGTGTAGCACGAGAGAATATGGGTTAGGGCGAGGGAGAAGCAGGGGAGTGTCAGAGTTCCTGGGAGAATATGCAGTTTGAAAAAATTACATTGGATCATTTTTTCATATTCATCAAAATTACATTTTGATCAATATATTTCATTTTCTCTGAACATTAATAGTGATGATAATAGTAATAGATGTGATCTGTGTTCCAGGCAATATACTAAGCACTGGAAAAGTATTATAACATTGACTTGTCACAACAATGCTTTGCAGTAGCTATTCTTAGCATCTGCATTTAAAAGATGAGGAGCTAAAGTGTAGAAGTGTAAGCTCACATATCTAATAAGCACTGGTATTCAAAACCAAGTGTGTCTGATTCGAGGATCTATGTCCCTACTCACCTCACCAAACTGTTTCCTCACTAAATAACATTAAAGGAAATTATAGGGCTCCTGTTTTATCAAAAGACACTTTTAAAAAAGGGTTTTTTAAAAAGTTGAGTAATACTGTTATACTCAGTGAAAAGTGAAAAGATGTTTTCCTACCTCCTGATAGGAGTAAATCACATTGCTAAATGACATAGATTTCTAGATGAATGTAAGAGTTTAAACTGACATTTGATTTGCATGAGTCTATGACCTTAGGTCAATGCAATGTCACTATGAAGTCTTTTCTCAATCAAAACATAAAAATGAGGTATATTAGTTTCACGTGAATCATTTGCAATATTTTGAATCTTTATAGCAATGACAGGCAATTTTTGCTGTTATTCTGATTTAGGAAATGCCAGGTATCTGTGAACTTAACTGAGATGCATAAAGCGTGACTTATGAAAGATTTTGGAAGGATTTTTGTCATTTTTTCAATACATAATAAATGTACGTGGTTTTATTCTTGAAAATTACTGCTTGTTTAATAAATTTAAAGATAGAAATTTCTACCAGAACAAGAGGAAATAATTTTTCAAACGTTTACAAGATAGTATTTTTAGGAGACATAATGCTTTTTTTTTCCACTCTATTTAAAATAAAGAGTCATGGTACCTTTAATTGATGAGTATGGACATTACCACTTATTGCCTTGTGAACATAAAAGTTTTCGTGAAGAGCTTGTGATATGCCTAATACAACTGTGCACAGGAGTGAATAAAGCGTCTCAAGTAGCAATTCCAAGGTATTGACAGTCATAGCAGCAAAATCTCGTATCTGGAAGTAGCATCCATAATAATTTTAATATCAATGTATAGTTGCATAAACCCTCATTGATTAAAGAAAATAAATGCACTTTTTTTCAAAAAAGGCTTCTGCATATAAATGGATATATATATAATCATAAAAAGAGATAGCTAAAAATCAATAAAATTGCCGTAGTAGCCTCTACTGAGGAACATGCTTGACAAAGTATGTATTTTATACATAGCCCAAATGTCATTGAAATCTCCAGACACCTTAATATCTGAATAAAATTTCCTCTAATATCTCATTCCATGGATTATGTCAATATAAAACTTTTCTCACGTTTTCTGACAATTATCCAGGTCTTGCATTTTCTTGGTTCTTCTGGCTTCGAATGTTTTGCCCTTTAAATTAGTTAAGCTGAGAGATAACCTTTCCATCTGGAAATACCCTTTCTCTTTCAGGTCGTGTTAACCCAGATATGAAACTCAGTCGTTTATTGCAGCTCACAAAATAAAAAATCTGCTAAGACCTATATGCAGGTAATATAATTTTACACATTTGGGGGGAGGAAAGGGATAGAAAAGACTTTACTTTGAAGCAACATGATCATCTTGAATTGAATAATAAACATCCTAGTTATTAAAAATCCTTCAGCCCTCGCCTCATCCTACCTCTTTACTCCTCATCATTGTTCTTCCCACTTCTATCTCACCTCTTCCTTGCCTCCCCTACTTCCTGAATTGCCACCCAGAACTCCAAATTCAGCAGAGAAATTCTTTGGTCTTCCTCTGAGTGCCCTGAAAAACAGAGCCTGAGAAAGCCTACCAGCTCCATTTCGTTAGGAAGTGAAACCCCAAGGAAGCAAGAATAAGATAAAAAGGAAAGTGAACTGGGGAAGGAAGACAAGAAAATAGGAGGGAATTCATTACTGACACGACTGTAGTTTTACAAAAAAACATAACTTGATACTGCAGGACTTGTGGAAATGTTTACATCTCCAAACAGTCAGGAAGTGAAGAAAATGTGTCTGCAGCACCTTTTCCATCGCCTATCTTTCACTGGTCAGTTTCCAATAGGGCATTAAATTCCCTGCACTTGTGGTTTTAAACACCAGTATTCCTCATCAGATATGTACGTAACAACATTACTTGATTCCGGGGTATGCTTAAATGATAAACTCTGCTTCAGAAGTTTATTTAGCAATCAAACTCACTAGCATCCATAGTCTGTTATTTCAAACAACCTCTTACCAGTATCCTCAATTCTTCTACCCTGTTATCCTTTTGTCACAACCTGTTGGGAAAAGAAAATCCTAGAACAATATACCTGCACTGAGCATTGCTGGAGAAAATGCACAATGGGGAATTCTGCCATAGATTCACCAACCTCAACTGGACTCTCAACACTGCCCAACTCAATGCTTTGTTTCCTTCATTAGTTTGCTCTCTTGTTCACCACACAATTTTAAATCTTCGCACTCCTTTAACCTCGAGCCTCAAGCTTTTCCCTCCCTCTCAGGGGATGACTTCACCTGCTACTTTGGAAGGAAAATGAAAGCCTTTACAGAAACATCCCATCAAATTCCTGTCACTCAATTTTCTCATCTACCTGCATCCCTTGTATCAACAATAGGGCCTGTGTACAGTGGGTACACAATAAATGTTTGTTGAATAAATACACAGCCATTCTTATTTCCTCCCTCACGTGTGATGAAGAAATCTCCCTTCCAGGGGCTGGCCCAGTGGCGTAGTGGTTAAATTTGCACACTCCACTTCGGCAGCCCAGGGTTCACAGGTTTGCATCCTGGGCATGGACCTACACACCACTCATCAAGCCCTGCTGTGGTGGCATCCCACACACAAAAAAATAGAAGAAGATTGGCAACAGATGTTAGCTCAGGACCAACAATCTTCCTCACCAAAAAAAAAAAAAAGAAAGAAATGTCCCTTCCACCTGTCTCTTCTATATTTTCAACCTTCCCCTCCTTACTGACAGCATTTAAATATGCTATAGTGTCTCTAAGTTTTTTTTGAAAATCTCCCTTCAGCCTTATATCCACCTTCCCACAGCTGTATAATAAGCACTCTATAAATATCCTATAATTTGTGTGCCCATTCTACTGTTGGTCATTTGAGTTGTTTCCAGTTTTATGCTGTTACAGTGATTCTGCAAAGATACTGGTGCATGTTTCCTGGTGCATGTATGTAATATTTTCTCTAGAAGACTAATTTCTTGGTCACTGGTATGCACATCCTCAACTGTACTCCATAATGCCAAATTGTGATCCAGAATGGTTGGACTCTTTACACTTCCACGAGCCATTTGCAAGGCTTTCTTTCACTCCACATCATCATAAGGTGACTTTCTCAGATTTCTTAGTTTTTGCAAATCAGATGGGTGTGTAATGGTATCACACTTTGGCTATAATTTGGATTTTTCTGATTATTAATGAAGTTGACCATCTTTCAATGTTTGTAGGCCATTCTTATTCCTTCTATAAGAAGCTTATTCAAATATTTTTCCCATTTTTCCTTTGGGTTGTTTATCTTTTTAGTGTTGGTTTGCAGTTCTTTGTGTATTCCAGATATTAATACTTTTTAATTAAATCTCTTGCAAATATATTCTATTTATGATTTGTTTTTCAGCTTTTTTATTGAGGTAACATTGGTTTATAACATTATATAAATTTCCGGTGTACATCATTATATTTCGATTTCTGTGTAGACTACATCATGTTCACCACCCAAATGCTAATTACCATCCATCACTACACACACGTGCCCACTCACCCTTTTGGCTCTCCTCCCTCCCCCCTTCCACTCTGGTAACCACCAATCTAACTTCTGTATCTGTGTGTTTGTTTTGTTGTTGTTGTTGTTGTTTTTATCTTCTATTTATGAGTGAGATCATACGGTACTTGACTTATTTCACTTAGCATAATACCCTCAAGGTTCATTCACATTGTCACAAATGGCAAGATTTTATCTTTCTTTTATAGTTGAGTCGTATTCTATTGTGTATATATACCACATCTTCTTTATCCATTCATCCCTTCGTGGGTACTTAGGTTGTTTTAGGTTGTTTCCAAGTCTTGGTTATTGTGAATAATGCTGCAATGAACATACGGGTGCATATATCTTTACACGTTTGTATTGTCATGGTTTTTGGATAAATACCCAGCAGTGGAATAGCTGGATCATATAGTAGTTCTGTTTTTAATTGTTTTTTCTTTTGATGAGGAAGATTGGCCCTGAGCTAACACCTCTGATAATTCTCCTCCATTTTGTATGCAGGTCACCACCACAGTATGGCTTTGATGAGTGGTGTAAGTCCATGCCTAGGATCTGAACCTGCAAACCCCAGACCACTGAAGTGGAGTAGACTGAACTTAACCACTATGCTACCAGGCCAGCCCTTCTATTCTTAATTTGTTGAGGAATCTCCATACTGTTTTCCATAGTGGCTGCACCAGTATGCATTCCCACCAGCAGGGTATGAGAGTTCCATTTTCTCCACATCCTCTCCAACACTTGTTATTTCTTCTCTTGTTAATCATAGCCGTTCTGACAACAGGCATGAGGTGTTATCTCATTGTGATTTTGATTTGCATTTCCCTAATAATTAGTGATGTCGAACATCTTTTCATGTGCCTCTTGGCCAACTGTATATCTTCTTCGGAGAAATGTCTGTCCAGATCTTTTCCCATTTTTTAATTGGGTTGTTTGTTTTTTTATTGTTGAGATGTATGAGTTCTTTACATATTTTGGATATTAATCAGATATCAGACATACTGTTGGCAAATATCTTCTCCCAACTGTCTTTTCGTTTTATTGATGGTTTCCTTTGCAATGCAGAAGCTTTTTAGTTTGATGTAGTCCCATTTGTTTATTTATTCTTTTGTTTCTTTTGCCTGGTCAGACATGGTATTTGAAAATATGCTGCTAAGACCAATGTCAAAGAGTGTACTGCCTATGTTTTCTTCTAGAAGTTTTATGGTTTGAAGTCTTACATTCAAGTCTTTAATCCATTGTGAGTTAGTTTTTGTGTATGATGTAAGATAATGGTCTACTTTCACTCTTTTGCATGTGGCCATCCAGTTTTCCCAACCTCATTTGTTGAAGAGACTTTCCTTTCTCCATTGTATGTTCTTGGCTCTCTTGTCAAAAATTAGGTGTCCATAGATATATGAATTTATTTCTGGGCTCTCAGTTCTGTTCCATTGATCTGTGTGTCTGTTTTTGTGCCAGTACCATGCTCTTTCAATTACTGTAGCTTTGTAGTATCCTTTGCAATCAGGGAGTGTGATACTTCCAGCTTTGTTCTTGTGTGTCAGGATTCCTTTGCCTATTTGAGGTCTTTTGTTCTTCCGTGTTTTTCACTTTCTAGAGGCTGTCTTTTGATAAATAGAGGTCTTATTTTTAATGTAATTGAATTTATCAATCTTTTCCTTTATAGTTTGAGTATTTTGTTTCTTGTTTGAAAAATCTTTGCTCTGAAATCATAAAGATATTCTCATAGATTGTCTTATAAACATGCTATAAAATCTCTATCCATCTATAGTTTATTTTTGTGTATTTGGTAGCCAGCTTCCAAGATGGTCTCCAATAATCCCTGCTTCCATTATTTATACCCTTGTGTGTTATCCACTCACACTAAATAAGGCTAACCTGTGTAATACATAAGACAAGCAGAAATGTTTGTCTTTGACCTCTGAACCTAGATAGCAAAAGGCATCAGTTTCCACTTTGCTCTGTCTCGTATCATTAACTATGGGAGAAGCCAGCTGCCATGTTGTGAAGACACTCATGCAGCCCAATGGAGAAATCCATGTAGCTAGAAGCTAAACTTCTGAATCAAAAGCCAATGAGGAACTGGTTCACAACAGCCATACAACAGGTGAGATAAGCCATCTTAGAAGTGGATTCTCCCATCTCAATCATGTCTTCAGAAGACTGTAGCATTTGGCTAACATTTTGACTGCAACCTCGTGAGAGACTCTGAGACAGAACCACCACATAAGCTGCTCCTGAATTTCTGAACTGCAGAAACCGGGAAAAATAAATATGTATTATTGTTCAGAGCTCTATGTTTTAGAGTAATTTTTTGCATAGCAATAGATAATTAATACATTACACATGTAAGGTAACATTTCAATTTCAATGTTACATAATTAGTTATTGCAGCATATGTTATTTTAAAAATCCTTTCTATTTACACTTATCTGCATGAGTAGCTTTGTCACAAATAAAGCTTCCAATTCTACATAGATCTGTTTCTGGACTCATTCTATTCCATCGGTCAATTTGTTCATCCTTGAGTTGATTCTTCATTAATTACTATAGCTGTATAATTTTTATATTTGGAAGGCAGTTATGCTCACCACCATACCACCAATGCACATTAATTTTTTATTTTTGATAAGGCATACTTCCAGACTTCAATATTCTTCAGGAAATTCTTATCTATTTTTTAGCCCATATATATATTATATATATATTTGGAATCACCTTATCATTCTCTACAAGAAAGCCCGTTGGGTTTCTGAGTATTGTAGCCTATTGCATTATTTTCATCCATGTGTATCCATGGTGTATTGTGGCATTTATTTGAAATTGTCCTTCAACAAGTTTTATAATTTTCTTTGTAAAGGTCATATACATCTTTCGTTAACTTTATTCCTCGGTATTTCATTTTCGTGTACCAGCATGGAGTATTACAAAATGGAACTTTAAGGAGGATACAATTTTAAATAGCATAAAATAGGAGCTGGCCCGGTGGTGCAGTGGTGAAGTTCACACGTTCCGCTACAGTGGCCTGGGGTTCGCCAGTTGGGATCCCGGGTGCAGACATGGCACCGCTTGGCACACCATGCTGCGGTAGGCATCCCACATATAAAGTAGAGGAAGATGGGCACAGATGTTAGCTCAGGGCCGGTCTTCCTCAGCAAAAAGAGGAGGATTGGCAGCAGATGTCAGCTCAGGACTAATCTTCCTCAAAATAAATAAATAAATAAATAAATAGCATAAAATACAATAAATTGCTCAAGCCAGAAACTGGCACAAATAAGCACTCAATAAATATCTCAAAGCAGATTTATGAAGGAATAAATAAATGAGTGAAGAAGTAAATAAATACAAGGATGGATATCTACCATTTTTTCTTTTTAAAGATTTTATTTTTCCTTTTTCTCCCAAAGCCCCCCAGTTCATAGTTGTATATTTTCAGTTGTGGGTCCTTCTAGTTGTGGCATGTGGGATGCCGCCTCAGCATGGCCTGATGAGCGGTGCCATGTCCGCATCCAGGATTCGAACCTGGTGAAACCCTGGGCCACTGAAGCAGAGCACGTGAACTTAACCACTCGGCCACAGAGCTGGCCCCTACCATTTATTTTTGAAATGACTGGTATGCCTACCGATAACATATCTATTTCAGTTGCCATTCTACTTAGGTACTCAGTATTCTCAGACGATTTTTTCTCCCATGATAAAGAACCCCGATGTTTTCAGTTCTTACCTCAGTGTGTCTCGTAGAGAGGAATACAACATCTAAAGGAATCGCTTCAAAGAGTGTGAGATAACATGTTATAGCAACTTGTCTTTTCCTTTTCCATGACTCCCTTCCCTCTTTGGAACTTTGTACACGTGTAATTGAGCATCCTAATAAGTATATTCAGCTCAATGTATTGTACTTCATTGAGGCCTTCACAAACCTTTTCATGTGTAAGAATGATAGTTATATCTTTTTCTACAGCTTCTTTTATTCATGTTTTTGTTGTTGTTTTCTTTTGTTTGCTATAAAAATTAGACTCTTATTCAATAGAAAATATGACCAAAAAAGTTCTCAAAAATTATATTAGGCCCCGTCATCACTACTATCTTTATCAGTTCCCCACGGTGTATGAAATCTCTCAATATTTCCAAATGCTCAACCCTAGACATCACCTTTCATGGATATTTTTCAAAATCTCTTAAGTACATCAGCAATTCAATAACTTCTGTTCTTTTTTCAAAATCTTGGGAAGAAACTTCGTGTTGGAATTGGGCCAACAACGTGTTTCTCTCTGTGGATAAGCAAAACTTCATAAGAGCTAAGATGATTCAAGCAGATGTTCATCATGTAACTGCCAGAAAAAGCACTGGGAGTCACAAAGATAATTCAAATCCAGTGTTTGGAAATTTCCCCACCGTACCCAAGCATCTTTTGAAGTTGATATTCAACTGTTTTTAAGTACTTTTAAAGACCTTCCTAAATGTCATCTAAAAAGCACTTTTGAAATCTGACGTACTGTTCCTGCGAATGTATCTTAGATGGATTTGGATAGTCTTTATTTTGTCTTTTAGTGGCTCACTCACGTGTAAACATATAGGGCTCTCTATGACCCAGACACAAGTTATTTCTTGCCACCTCCTATCTTCAAATCCTCTTTCAATCATATGGAATTTCCGGCATCTCCTAAAGCATATCATGCTGTTTCACACCTTTGTGATTTTGCTCGCACTATTCTCTTCCCCTCGAATACTCTTCCCCAACCCCTACTGCCATTATCCACCACAATACATATTATGTTTTCAGATTGAGCCCAAAATCACTTGTCCTAGGAAAACTCCTCTGACTGCCATTCACCTCCCACAAGCGAAATAACTTTGGTACTCCCTCTCTCCACTCTAGACCTTTCTATCATGCTACCTAACACTGTATTGGCTTGTTTGCATTTGTGGTGCTCACTGAACACCCATAAATTCTTGGAGGCAAAAATTGTATTGCCCACCTTTGGATTACTAGCACCTAGCAGTGTCTGACTCAAAGTATGAACTCAAGGAATGCATCTTAAAGAAACGAATGAATAAATGCACGCCTGTTATCTCCATCAGTGATTTAATACTTGATTAGTAAAGGTATTAACTTTGTTCTCCCATGTTTTGAGATTTAGACTTGTGTTAAATGAAATCAGTTGCACGCATTAGATATTACTTTGTCCTTTTCATTTGTCCCTCGCACACATGGGATAAATAATGTCAATAAAGGTTAAGAAAACATATTGTAATATGTCATAACATAGAAAAGGCAAATCTAAAACAACATAGTGCAGACACTCTGTTTCCAGTGTTTGACATAATGCTGGAGTAAAACTTTAAAAATCTTGAAAAGAAAGAATACTTAAATAATGACACCATTATAATGTGCCATTTATATGCTTGTAATTGTGCTGTATTCTTTAAATGTTACCTTGTTTAATTTAATACGCACAGCAAGCCTATAAGGTTTGTTGATATTTTCCTCATGTGCAGATAAGAAAACTTTCCCAAAGTTGCACCAAGTGACTTTGATTCCAGTCTTTCTAACA